ATAGTTTTCAGAATAAGTTAGATTTTACGGTAGCACCCCGAATCAGATTTCGCAAAAGAAATATTTTATTTATTTTATTTAGAAAATTTGCGAAAAGCGCACTCTGAAATTCATGAAATAGCGGGGTGTTACAGGGTATATAGATTTAGAAATTTGACCGGGTATATAGTGATTTGGTGGAACTATGTTCGAACTTGAAAAATATGATGGGCACAATTTTAAAAAAACATTTCCATTATTAGTAAATAATGAAAATTTGAGTGGAAAATCGTAGTGCTATTTTTGTATTTTTTTCCTTATTTTTATTATATAGTAATAGATTATTAAAATTACTTTAATTAATTCGAAATGGGATATGTAGAATTTTGCTAAATATACGGATAATATATCTTGTAAGAATATTGGTTTGGCATCATCTAACAATCCTAAGTGTTTTCCACAAGATTTCTTGTTAAGCAAGCAAAATAAATTAAAGAAATTTTTTTTTATTTATTTACTTGTGATTTAATTAATTTTACTAATATTTATTATTAATAATATATGGTATATATTATTGTAGTATGTATTATGGAATCCTAATCCTTTAAGAGAAGGATTACATAATATATATCTTATATATTTACTTACCATATATGTCACATGCCATAATTAGTTCTCTCTTTCTTGTAGGACAGGAATAAGTGGCAAGAACTATGAAAAGATTAGAAATTCGTGTATAAGGAGTTCTGGACGTTCATGAGAAGATCTAAGGAGGATTTGGAAAGATTCACGATAAGATCTTTGAAGATTTGGAAGATCGGCTATTTTTGGAAAGTCATGTTCTTACATGATCTGGGATCACAAGATTTCCATTGGAAGCTCAATTCTAAAGATCTCCAAAATCAAATACACGAATTCCACATCAAGGAAACTTATTTTACATGAAGGATTTTGTCCAAATCAGAAAGCAATGAACTGAGAAGGAAATTGACTCCTAAAATGAAGAGGAGGAACTTGTGAAGACTCCTTACATTAAGGAGATTGTATGTAAGCCTGCTCAAACAATCAATTTAAGACAAGTGAGCTGCTGCAAATCGTTCATTATTCATCAAGATTCAATTGAGTGTTTGAGAGATCTTTATTCTTTTTATTTTGTTCGTCACAGCACTTCAACGTTCTTACAGTGTTGACGAACTAAGTTTGTTTAGTTTCTTTTTCTTTTTACAAATATTTTTTGAGTGCTTAGGGATTAAGTACTGGGTTTTGCTCGAGGGATTCGAGTGTGTAAAGTTCACGTGACGTGGCCAGGGAAGTAGTTGATATGATCGGTATAGTGTTGGCTAGACTAGGAGGGAGACCGAGTCGAGTAAGTCCAAGCTGTATTTTGTGGGATGCAAACCGATTTATCAATGAAAGAGCTTTGAGGTGTAGTGGGACGCTCCCCGAAGAAATATTTTTTATATCGCTTCCGCTTTTAAGTTTTATTTTCTTGTGCTGCAACACGGTTTAGTAATCCAAAATTTCTGTGTTCTAACACAAGCTGCGTTCTGACACAATTTTCTTGAATTTGGAACTGAGGTACAAACCGTTGACCTTCTCCCTGACCATACTAGTGCGGATAATGTTTCCAAATATTCTGTTCAACATTCCCTTAAGCGTACTAGCATGCGTTGCCACTTTACTAGAAATTTGGTTGATGATGGATTAATTGTTTATAAATATGTTCCAGCACATAACCTTGATGCTCAAAGATTATTTCTCTAAGGAAATCCTTAGGGATATGCATTCTCTTGATTGCTTGCATGTCATTATATTATATTATATTGTATATTAGTATATATATTATATTTGCATTGCGTGTATGCATATAGGTTATTGCATTAGGCATGATTTGCATTTTGCATTTGTTTCACCACTAGATCCATAATTGATGTTCTGTCTCCTCTGAAAGTTAGTGCGATGTTAATTTTATAGGATTGATTGCGTGTTCTTGAATATCCTAGGACATACTTAATATACTTATTTTCTTTGTCAAAAAGAGCTGCCTTCTCATAAATGATCTAGAGCGATAGCTAGCACATGGTTCGTTTTTCAAAGGGATCGACTGTGAAAACAACGTCTGGGACAGAAAATGTTGAGAAGGGTGTAAGCTAGTGACACCCACTGCACATTCTTGTGTGGTGTTTTACTTGGAGTTATAAGGTGGTCATCCTCATAAAAACCGTAGTGCTATTAAAAAAAATAAATTGGATCCTTGCTTAAAATTGTTGTGCAATGTAGTGGGGTTGACTTTCGCTATGACAATGATTGTTCTAAGTGAAACGCACGATGAATAATAATGCATGTGTTCTTACTATATTGAAGTTGCAGTTTGCACTACATTGTATATTACTATATATATATCCACTTCTAGTATCTTCCTTGGTGTGTTTGTATCACAAAGTTGGTCCTTGATTATTTTTCATTAATCTTACTTAAGAGGATAAGAAAAAGATTTTATCGGTTCTAGTGAATTTGCAGGCGATTTTATTTTATTTTATTTTTTCATATTAGACATATATTGCATAACATTTCCTTATTTGATTGAATTACATGACATTACAAAATCTTGAGGAAATTTATTTTTGGATGCTAAAATCTTATTCTCCCTAATTTTGAATTAGTTGGACACATGTGTTAGTGTGTTAATGGATTTGTGTGTTCAGCTTTGATGGAAATGTTCTTATTGCATAGTATCCAACCTTTCCCATGATTTTTTAAACCTTATCCATTACATCCTGACATTTTCATTCATTCTGTCTTCACAATATATCTTCATTTTCGGAACCTGAGAACCCCATTTTATTTCTCTTTCTCTATGAAATTTTTATTTAACCATCTGTGTTCCTACATCATTTTCTAATTTGCTTCTGAAACACTTTGGATGATGGCAAAGGCCTGGAGAAGAGATGGACAACATATAAGCGATTAGAGATCAGTTCAAGCGACGATTTTTGTCTTCGATCATCTTTATTTTTCTCATTTGATGTTCTTACTCGGGAGGAGATTTGCCTTTAGCATTTCAGTTTAAAAAGGGGGAGAAATATGATGTTTCTGAAGATGTTGAGGATAATGTTCTAGTTGTTTGCTTCTGATTATTTGTGATTTATGTTTTTGACAGGTTTCTACAGGATGTAAGAACATGTATGTTCTGCTGTTTGATTGTTTTTGATTATTCTGACAGGGGGAGATAAATTGGTTACTCTGTTTGACTTAAGTTCTGATAGCTTGATGTGTTTTGATTGGTCTGATCATAGTTCTCATAGTTGTTTTGATAGGAACTGTTATGATATTCTTACATTGCTGGTGTTTGATTAGTTACTTCCTGATGTTCGCGCATAAATATTTGCTTTGTTGTTTTGAGTTTATTTTATAAGTTATCTTCAAGAAACACGGTTTTCGAACTGAATGCCAAAGGGGGAGATTGTAAGTATAATCGTTTGGCATCATCCGACAAACCTAAGTGTTTTCTAGAAGATTTCTTGTTAAGCAAGCAAAATAAATTAAAGGGAAGTTTTTCTATTTATTTACTTTTGATTTAATTAAATTCCTAATATTTATTATTAATAATATATGGTATATATTATTGTAGTATCTATTATGGAATCCTAATCCTTTAGGATAAGGATTACATAATATATATCCTATATATTTACTTACCATATATGCCACATGCCATAATTAGTTCTCTCTTTCTTGTAGGACAAGGAATAAGTGGCAAGAACTATGAAAGGATGAACAATTCGTGCATAAGGAGTTCTGGACGTTCATGAGAAGATCTAAGGAGGATTTGGAAAGATTCACCACAAGATCTATGAAGATTTGGAAGATTGACTATTTTTGGAAAGTCATGTTCTTACATGATCTGGGATCACAAGATTTCCATTGGAAGCTCAATTCTAAAGATCTTCAAATCACACACGAATTCCACATCAAGGAAACTTACTTTACATGAAGGATTTCGCCAAATCTGAAAGCAATCAATTGAGAAGGAAAACGAGCCGAGCCTCGAGCTCGATTTGTTTACAGGTCTAGTTACCAAACATTTGATTTGCACGTATGGCACCCCAGAGTGAAAAAAAAAAAATCTGGCTACCCCCTTATAGTATAGATAAATAGATATAAATAAATATAGGATTGTCCTTTTATAGGGGAAGGAAAAACTTGATCGTATCTTTGTTTATAAATAGATATAAAAAATCTGGCTACTAGAGTCGTCGGTATCCTCCACGCTCTAAAACTTGAGCCACCTTGATTGTTTCGGCTCAACAAAAGAGAAACGTAGTATATAAAGATTATTGTAGATTTCTCTAATTTATATTCATGTCTCGTATTGTCAACATGCACAAATTCTTCACTATTTATAATTATTCTTTTTTGGTACATGGACCTTCCGGTTTCCGGATCCACAGGGAAACCGACTAATACGGAATCGAGCCGGGTAGGACCACAAGAGCCGACTATTTATAATTATTTTCATACAACTACATATTGATGAAATCTTGAATCCTCACTTCATACAACTCCAACATAATATATTGAGGTGAGTAACAACTCCATATGTAGTAAATGGATGTTACAAAGTACTTAGATGCATGTAACATCACTCACAACCAATAGGAGCAATCTGATCATATATGAGGCAATAAATTTTAGAACGATTTAATTCCAAGCATATTACATGAAACCTTCCACAGCAAGCATAATAATTAAATTCCTAGTGCATAGTCATTCTTAGGCACGTACCCATCAAGTATACAGCCTCCTTACATATATATAAAGCTAATTAATGCATGTAATTAATAATGGGAGATGCTACAGTCCCGTTATGGAACCGTTCCGTCAGGGTTTGTAACCGTTAGATCATCATATAACTGTTGGAGATAGTTGATTTAACGGTTACAAACCCTGACGAAATAGTTCCGTAACGGGACTGTAACATTTCTCATTAATAATACTCACCTTGTTCTGTGATTGACTAATCAGTTAGCCGTTTGGAGGACCAAACTAAGAGCTTTCAATAGGTCTTTGGTAGAAACCCTCAACTCTTTCTCCATCTGCATACATATATAATATATAATACCAAAATTAAATTATGTTAGTTCCAATCATATAAATAAAAATAACTAAATATATATTACCACCAAAAATGTAAAAAAATTGAACCATAGAAATAACAGACAAATTTTAATCTCGATTAAATATAAATTACCTCGGCTATAATCGTGATGTCGATCGCCGAACTCCCGAACGGCGTGACCCCAATGTTCACGACGGCCAAATCGAACTTGTCGACCTCGCCAAGAATTTTCCCCAAATTGCCCTTGCCCTTTTCGCACTGGATCTGGAGAAGCACCTTCTTTCCGAAGACTCGCGCCTCGATCTTCGGAAACTTTGGCTCGTCGGATGTATCGCCGTTTCCACTGTTATAATTGCCGGCATCGACTCGCGACTCGGAGGGCTCATCCGCGGCTTGAAGTTCCTCCAAATCACTCACTCTCTGCTGCAGATACTCTATGTACTTGATTGCATCACCCAGGACAACATTAGCTTCTTCCAACTGCACTCAAATTTGTATTAAAAAAAAAGAAAAAAAAAATTGCAGATTAGAGGGACAACAAAAGTAAAAAGAGAAAAGACAGAAGCTTTTAAGTGTTGTTACCTTGTCCATTTTCTTCTCCAGACAACCAAAATCTGTTCCAAGTGATGCAATATTTGAGTGCTGCTTTGATAAGAAGTATATTTTATTACAAATTGGCTACTAAATTGATTGGTTCGTACAGCCTTAGCTGTATACAGATTTAATAGAGAATGATTGTGCCACAACAAGAAGACGGGTCAAATCAGGAGCTGGGTCGGAGGAAGGGCAAAACCGAACTTGTAACATACAAACGTCATGCATATTCGTCCGAAAAGCTGGACCAGAAAAAGGGACGGGGCAAGAAGGTATTTGTAATATAGGTGGAATGGAAGATGCTCTGGACTGGACCAGCTAAAAAGGGACAAGAAGGTATTTGTAATAACAACAGCTTTTGTGGAATGAAATTAAAGTTATGCATTGGACCAGGGAAAGGGACAAGACGGTATTTGTGATATAACATGGTACGTCGAATGAAAGATGCACTGGGCTAGAGAAGGGGCACGAAGGTACTTGTAATCACTCCCTATATATTAATTCAAAACGTGTTGAGAGTCTAGGTGGCAGATTCTCACGCTTTGGATGCTGACATGGCGAATATCTATGCTTCGTGATGTTGTTTTATATTATTTTTGCTATGGAGTTAGGTTTGATATTAGACATAAATAACTTCATACATATATTCATTAACTCAACATCCATGTTGTACATGAGTATTGGTACTAGTTAATTTATACGTCAGAATGAAAGATGTATAGAGTAGGAGGATATGAGTTAATTAATCTATATCTATACTACTCTAAAAGGAGAAGTGTTTTTGTAAAAATTCATAATGCCTAAAAAACCCTTACTTTGACATAAATTTTATGACAAATTAGTAATACACTAATACACATCATATTTTATTTATATTTTTATTTAAAAATAAACTACCTAAAAAATCCTTACTTTGACATGTTTTTAATGACAAATTGGTAATATACTAATGTCATCAGATTTTATATTATTAATTAATAACTAATATTAATTAATTAAATACAAATACATGAACAACTCATTTCACATAGACATGGCCAGTTGTCGGGTTTGGGCCCGGCCCGCCGCATCGGCGGGCCTCAATTGTTGGGCCTGTAGCCGACCCGACAATTCCTTTTGGTCGGTTCATTTGAACGGAACTGGCCCGGCCCGGCGGTTCAACAAACCGTCGGGTTAAAAAAATAAAAAAATAAATAAAAAATAAAAAAATAACTATAACCCGTCGCAAAAAACCGAAAGTGACCCAGAACCGTCCCGGCCCGGCGGGTCAAAAAACAAAAAATTGAGAACCGAGACCGAATCGTATGGGCACGGTCCGGTTCATAGGCCCGCGCAATTCCGGGCCGACCCGTGGCCATGTCTAATTCCACACTTCTAAAATAAAATTATTTTCTTCCACATATCTTTAAAACTGTTTGATATAGAAACATTATTTTCAAAGTAACCTATAAAAAATGTGTGATAGTATGCGAAATTAATTGTTGAAAACACTTGTAGAACTAGAAATCGATATTGTTTTTCTCATAACAACCACAAAATATTGAAACGTTATTTTCAAAATAACATATAAAAAATGTGTGATAGTATGCGAGATTAATTGTTGAATGATTGTTCTGCAACATAAACTTCTAATCTATTCAATTTCTTTACTACATAAGATCGGGACAATTTTATAAAATTGTATAATATTAAAACTGTATCCATTTGTTTTCACGTCTAATGAGATACTACTTTAGCAATATGGATTAATTTTGACCATATAATTATCTACAAACTAATTAAAAATATCTCGAGAATCATGATATGCCTACATGTTGAAAATTTTTTATTTTTTTTTTATCAAAAAATTATATTCATATATTATCATTAGTCATTTATTTATTTATATGTGTTATTACAATAAAATGGTTTTTAAAAAAATGTACGAAATAAAAAAATTATATATTTGAGTATAACTGAGAAGATTATAATTATATATAAAATAATATAAAATATAAAATTAATTGATATAAATAAGGCATATGACCTAAAAAGTGCTATACTTAATTTTATATATTTTTGAACAAACCGAAAAGTTACCCACAAACACACACGCACATTAAAAACATATGAAAGAACAATATAAAGTAAAAAATATTTAATCTGATAAATAATATAAAATTTATAATAAAGTTGTAACACTTACTAATAACTATGAAAAAAAGTAATAAATAAAAATATTATAATTAGTAAAAGTATATATAGAACTTTTAAAATTTGTTTAATTTTTTGCGCTTATTGATTCTGTATATAAATTTTAGATGATAGACATCAGTTATTTATACCTTTATCCATGAAAGTTAGAAATTTATTTTTCTTATAAAATTAATTATTTTGATTTTAAATAACGTTTTATTTGCTATTAGTTTTTTAATATAATATATTAATGGCATATTTTATATATATACAATAATACTTTTCGTTATGTAATATGTAAGTGCAAGAAATGTAATTCAATAGATAAATTAATAGATATTTTTGCGATAAAGTAATAAGCAATTTCTACAAAAATTATATGGATTACCAAGTTCACTTGTTTAATATATTTTTAGTATAAAAATTATAAATACAATTAATTAATAACAAAAACCCCTAATAAAAATTATAATATATAAAGGAATAAAAAAAATGGTACATTGCAATGAAAAATCCAACGGTAAGACATTAATTTTTTTTTTCCAAAGACATCACGATAAGACATTAATTGTAATTTCTAAATGATATTTTATTTGTATATCTGTCATTGTAAAATTGCATTGACTATATCAACAGAGATCAAATTATATTATTTATTCTTGTGTAATATAATTATTTCAACTATCATTATTTATTATTGCGTGAATTTTTGTTAAAAAAAATTTCGGCTCATATTTCAATAGTTGGAAAAATGTCACTGGTATTGTAAAAATTTCAATGGAAGTTCTATTCGAAATCTACCTGCAGTGGTGGATACAAAATAATTTCATACTTGAGGCATTATTTGGTTGTTAATAGAAAAAGTATACCATTATAATAACATAATGTTATTATGATTTATAAATTATATTTTTCATAATTTGTCATCTTTCTCATCTGTAGTACATGTTTAACACATCAATACAGTTACAATTAAAAAAAACATAACTTTTCTCAATTCAACATAAGCAAATCAATGAAAATAATATATTTTTAAAAATTTTATGAACAAAAGTTGACTCGACAATTTTATTAATGAATTTATGAATTGTAAATATTTAATTAAAATATTAATTTAAAAATTGTAATTAAATATAATATAATATATGACATAGAAATATTTGATATATAATGAGACAAATGATCGAAAAAATTCTATATCTTATATTATGTCTTTTTTGACAAATCCACAGTTAAGAACATGTGAAAGAAAAAGATAAAGTTTTAAAAAAATATGAAATATAAGAAATAATATGAATAATAACTAAGTTGTGACACATACTAATAAATATAAAACAAACTAATAAACAAAAATAATATAATTAATATAACTAAATATAAACCTTCTAAAAATATACTTATTGATGTAATTAAACTGAGTTGTTAAACGCTTGTTAATTTTTTGTTCTTATTAATTTTATGTGTTAATTTGAGGTGATAAGACAATAATAATTTGTACATGTATCCATGTAGATTAGAAAAAAAAAATTCTTTATTATTCTAATTCTAAATATCTTTTTTATTTACTATATTAGTTTTTTAATATAATATATAAGTATCATATTGAACACATAAAACAAGAACTATTTTTAATTATATAATATTTAATATGTAAGAAATGTAACTCAATTGGTAAATTAATAGGCAACCTTGAGATAAAATAATGAGTGATTTCTGAAAAAAAAAATTATAGGAACTAAAAGGTTCACGTGTTTAATATATTTTTAATAGAAAAATTGTTATTAAACACAATTACTCAATAAATACTACATAAAAAATAATGTTTGAGAGGACTACAAAAAATTGCTATATTGCAATGAAAAACTCAACGGTAAGGTATTCTACTGAAAATTCTCACGAATATATTGCTTTAATTGGAAAATTTCATTGGCTATTCCATTAGTGTTCAAATTAAATTACATGAACTTTAGTGGATTCAAAGATTTCAATTACATGAATTTCTATTGGAATTTTTTTTGGACCATATTTCAATCGTTGAAAAAATTGACATTGGTATTATACAAAAATTCAATAGAAGTTCCATTGGAAAGATAATTACAGTGATAGATCTAAAATAATTTCATATTGGGAGCATTATTTAGTTAATAGAAAAAAATATACCATCAAAATAATATGTCATTGCAAGTTATAAATTATACTTTACATAATCTATCACCTTTCTCATTTGTAATACATTTTAATAAATCTATGCAATCACAATAAGGTAAAATATATTTAAGAAACCAAAAGTCAAGATTTTTCTTAAATCAACATAAGAAAGTCGTTATATTTGTTGTATTTTTTTGTTGGGAATTTTCTCATTTTCTTGTAGTAAAACTAGGACTCCAAATCTATATATATAAAAATCCATTATATATAATATTGTTGCAACTATTATTATGAAAATTTTTGATACGATAGAAAATATAAAACATTCAATGTAATTGGCGTTCAATTTATGATAAAAAGTAATTTTTTTCAAAAAACAAACAAGATACTTTACAAGCTTTAACTATTTTATTAGTATTATAATAACTAAATAAGGGGTAAGAATGATGACAAAACTTATATCTCTCATTAAATCCAAAAGTAAAAATGTTGATAAAATTACTTAATGTACAATA